ACAGACAACCTCTCGTCAATATGCGTTTTTTGCATTGCATTACTGCAAAAAACGCATAAAAACAAATACGAAGGGGTTTTGACTTTGACAAAGGCTTCGCGAATAAAATTATTGACTGCATGATAAATCTGATCTGATGCTGTGGTATACATAAAAAAAGGTGGACATCCACAAAACACCGATAATGATCACCGGCTATTAAAAATTTTCAGAACGTTCGGGAATTTTTTTTTTTGCGATAAGATAAAAGAATTTAGAGCGCAGAAATTCCTTCTACCGTATCTCCGGACTTTTTCTGGTCCTTCATTCCAGGATCACCTCCCTTAGAGGAATCTAGCTTCAGCGATTCTTCTGGTAACCTTTCTTCTGTCGTTGCAGAATGATACTCGTAACCGTAGTTGTAGACAAATGATGGATTCAGATCCCGGTGCTCCTCGCCGGATAGCTCATGCGATTCTGGAACAGCATTTTGTGGTTGATCTGGCTTTTCCGGGCTTAGTTCGTTCACGGCTGAGTGCCTCAGTTCCTCTGATCTGGCAAGGTGTTTCAGTTCTTCTATTGGCATTTCCCCTTCTTTCTCATCGAATGCCGTGCTTCTGGGCTGCCGCTCCTCATCCGTGGTACTTTTTGCTCTAGAATTCTCATGATCTAAATGTGATGGGAGCTGCATCGTTACTGCTTCTGGGAATGGAGTAGATGAGGTGAGAGGGGAAACTCGAATTTGCTCGATGCCTGATGCTTCAATGTCACCGCGCTCGGAAGCCGGAGTGCCTATTTCTTGTTCTTCCTGAAGCGGAGATGTGGCCAGTGTTTCTTGATCCTGAGCTTTTGGCCCAAGTAACGCCTTCTCATCCATATGATTCAGATGCTCGGCTACTTTGGAAATAAGTGCCACCGTTGCATTACTGACATCTCCGTGACCGATCGAACCAAGATGGTACGCTTCAGCTCCCCCGGATTCCAGTTCGGTCATCTCATCATCGCCGATCACCTGCTGCACTGTCCGGTTATCTTCCATACTTTTGATGCGTGCTTTTGCTGCTAAACTGCTTCCCTCGTCCTCTTCTGGCAACGGATGCGATAGAATATGTTGTGGATGGGTTGCTTCAATTGTTAACGCCTTTGCTTCATCTTGCCGAACGGCAGTGGTACCATCATCACCACCACCAGCGGCAGCAGCCAACACCTTTGTTTCCTCCTCTGGAACAGGAGTGGTACCAGTAACAGCCGGCACTTTTACTTCATCTTTCAGGACGTCAATGGTACCAGCAATAGTTTCTTCATCCTTACGGTGCTGAGGTTCAGACGACTCAATTTCAAGATTCGGCGTGTCAGTAGGCGAGGGAGCAGGTGATTTTAACTCTTCATTCCTTGAAAAATCTCTCAGCCCCTCAGATTTCTCAATTTTTTTCGTTTTTACTGCATCCTTGGTGCTTTTGGGCGCCTTCCCAACTGAAGGCTTAACCTTTATTTCAGTCACTTTTTTGGCCGTTTTGTCCGCTAATGCTTGCATGGTATTTTTTTGATTTTCCAGTTTTTCTTTCACCGAATTCATGAATTCTTTGCTCCCCTCCTTTGGCTGTTGTTGTTGCTGTTGCTGCTGCTGCTGTTGCGGTCGCTTGTGATTAATGGACACCACATGATGTGTTGTACTGCTAATAACTCGTTTTTGCTCCGCTCCCGGTGACTTATGAGTAATTTTTGTCGTTCTCGTTACGTGTATTTTGACCGGTGCAGGCACTAAATAAATTTATACAAATTTTAAATTCCTCTTCACAAATTTTGTTAAAAATTGTTAAAATTATGCAATTTTTCGAAATTTATTCATTAAAATTTATGCAGATATTGTCGTTACATGTGCAACTATTGTTGTTTTTAGGCGTTTTTGTAAAACGCATATTGCGACGACTCCGGCGTGTGTGTATGTGTATGTGTGCGTCTGTCCGGGTATTTCGACTTGGCACCCAAGCAAGCTCCGGCGCCAAAACTTTGTGACTGGGTTCCCCGGCCATGTGCCACTCCACGACCGCGGTACCAGTCCTCAAGCACGTCTAGGCCCCGCGTACGAGCGCCTGAAAGTTTTGGCGGGAAAATCGCTAACTTGGGAATCAGGAAAGCTAGAAAGCTGAAATTTTGGGATTATGTTTCCCGTCCATATTGAACTCAAAGATTTTAAATCCAGCCCTCAGTTGTGCGCCTTTCCCGCGTACGGCCCAGTGAGGGTTCCTGGCGCGAAAATCGCTAACTCGGGAACCAAGAAAGCTGGGGGGCTAAACTTTCAGCGAATGTTCCAGTTCATTTACAACTTAAATTTATCAAATCCAGCCCCCCGTTATGCGTGGTTGCCAAATATGGCCCCGTGAAAATTTTTGGCGAGAAAGTGGCTAACTCCGGAACCAGGGAAGCTGGGAGGCTAAAACTTTCAGGAAATGTTCCCAACTCATCTACAAATTAAATTTATCAAATTCAGCCCCTCGCTATGCGTGGTTGCCACGTACGGCCCCGTGAAATTTTCTGGCTGGAATCTGGGTAACTCGGGAACTGAGAAAGCTGGGAACCTGGAATTTCAAGGGAATTTTCCCTATTCAAATATAGCGTGGAAAATTAACTTCCCGAAATTTGAGGACCAGTATGTACGAGAGGTTTCTAGGTAGCGAAATTTCGAGTGATCTTATTCCAGCACGAAACACTGCAAAAACGCATGATCGCACGAGCCTGCCCACTGCGTGTTGCCAGTGATTTAACACTGGATGCTAAGACTAGTCGAACATCCAGTATGTGTGTATTTTTTTTTAAAAATATGAAAGTTTTCAAAGTGATTCCCTTTGTTGCCACTTTTGGACCTTGATGAGGTACCATAAAATATAAGATTTTGCAAGTGATGGTATCTTGTGGTTTGGGAGTGCATACTTCAAGACAAGGCGGTGGTGCTCAAAATACAACATAATCATCTCAAAACAGTTCTTTGGTCTAAGTGGTTCTATCGAGAGAACTGCAGTGCCGATAATCCCTTCAGTGGACAAAACCAATGTCAAGCAGGCTGACCGCCGGCTAATATCGCATTGGTCAAAGCAACTGGAAAAGTCGCCAACCGCACAGCTGGAGAATAATGCTGTGGGTTGCAGCTGACGAAGCCAAATTAAGTATCTGAGAGAATTGCGAAAATTTAAGGGAAAAAATTGGAGAACCTGTTTTGGAACGTGTCGTTGGTATAGCAGGTGTTGTATAGGATCGTCGGCCAACCTGTGGATTGATCTTAGCGTCGTTGTATAAATGTGACAACAGACGTGGTGTCGAGGAACCGAATGCAAATGTTCCACGTACTGTGCGGTCATGCGAACCATCTCGACTTCCTGCAAATCTGTTAAAATATTCATCGGTTTCAGTGCAGAATCTCAAAACTGAAGTTAAAGCGGACTGTGGCGTATTAACCCCGGCCTTCCCGGGATTCTTGTTTTTAGTTGATTTGTAAAATTAAACAAATTTTGAAAGTTAAGGATGAGTTTGAGTCCCCGGAACTTTTCCTTTTTCAAAGCTACTTCTATTTCTTGAAATTCCCCTGCTGGTGGGAGGGGGAGGGGGAGGAAGGCAAGCTACTAATTGAAATTTTGTAGATAAGAGAGCTCTAAAATCGGGAAGAATGGCGAAGTTGCCTCAGCTTTCAAGCTTGACTGAGCAAAATTAATAGCAATTCGGATGTAGTTTATAACACAACTCCTTCCTTCCCCAGTGTTGACTGCCGTCTGCTTCACGTCCGCTGTACTATTTACGTGGTTCAATTATTATATGGCTATATTTTTTTACTTTAATTATTTTCTTTTTAAGCTGTGCATTAGGGAATATTATGAGGAAAAAACGATCAGTGGGTCAATTCCTGAAGAAGTGACATAAATACATCGAACTAGTGATAAGTGAAAAAATGCAGCTCAGGACTGAACGGCCTGACATAAATACGAGGTACCCATACTGTGATAGCTCAGGCGGTCTTGGTATTCTTGCAGTGTTTTTTTTTTATATTTTAATACTTTCCATGTATTTATGCTCATATTTTTATACAACTTTTAATACTCGTTGGTTTAGTCTTTCTTGACCTTATTCCTACTGCAGAAAATCGACCCCTCCGTTCCTCGTTTACTTGCTTCGATGGTTAATGAGTACTGGTGCACTGATGCGTGACTAAAACGAAAACTGTCTTCAGCTTGCTTGCGTCGATGGCCTTATTAATGGTTGGTTACTCATGGCAACCGTGCTGTTCTTAGTTTTATTGTTTTTTCTTAGTGCAAACATGAGGGTAAGTAAGCAAAATGGTGAGACAAATGCTTTTTTTTGTAGCAGACGGATTAGAAGAATTATCAAGTTCGCTTGGACAGTTAGTATCCCGTGTTAATGATTTTGCTGGAATATATCTCCATCGGGTGCAGTCAAGCACGGAAAGAATGGAAAGGATGGAAAGAAGTCAGGAAAAAGTGAAAAGTATAATCTCATTAAAAATGTTAAACTTCACCCGAATCATTTTGCTCTGCTCTTATCTCCCGCGAATCTTTGGTATCTTCACTTATTTACCGAATTTAAACATTTTTTTTTAATAAAAGACAAAGTACCATCTTTATCTGAGCCATACGCAGCTTTCGAGACATACACATAGTGAACAATGCTAAGTCCTTCTCTATCCTGATTTCTTTGCCTTCACATTTTATCAGCCATGTCCATTCCTCTTACGCATCACCTAAAACTGTCCAGTGGTCACTCTCTGTCTTGTGAGTGTCGCTTACAAAACAGGGGGTTACCACTCGGATAGTTGGACAGTTGTAACCAAGCGCGAAAAGTCTCTTACCTCTAGAAGACTTTGATTTTTGCAGTGGTCAGGATGGAGGTCATTCTTTTTTGAATATGATCCAGGCAAAGAACTTTAATCATCGGAGGTAGCAAATAAATTTCCTATGAAAATTTCACAAATTTTTACACGCTTGACAGGGGAAACAGTGTGATTACTGCTCCATGTACTTTAGAACCGTTGCTAAGGTAAATAGAGCTCTGAGGTAGAAAATCTATAAAACATTCTGGAAAGCGAATAAAAAAAACAAATGATGCATTGGAAAAAATTCATTGAAGCGAAAAAAAAAGGAGAAAACAAGAGCAAGAAGCTGCTAACACAGCTAATTAGTGCTGTTTTTTAGTCTCGATAACACCAAAACCGTCTGGACAATCGGTGTAAGAATCTATGTTGATGTTGTTACTGCAGTGCTCCCAAATTCAGGGCACAACTATGCCAAGTCCTTCGATCCGAAGCTGCATAGCTCCAGTTAGTACCCACTGCTTGTTTGATTTACGTGCGCTATTTCTTCGGAGGTTGCCTGAGTGGTCGTTTACTTTCTCTCAGATACCAGTACCAATAAAATTTTGAAAATATTTGTCATCTACAAAATCGCTGTAACTAAAAATTACAATAAATTACGCATATGCTCTCCTGTGGCATTACTATCGGTGCAACTTATTAACACCGATAAAATCGGACATGATAAACGACTTCCAGAGAATCTTGGTAATTTTAAGAGTTATCGCTTGTCTAACGATTTCTTCGTCCCTTCTCTCCCTCCATTTACAGTTGATTTTCATATTTTGCATATTCTGTCACAATACTTCATTAAACTCGCAAAGAGTTCTCTTCACTCAAATTTCCAAATTTTTAGACATTTTCGAAGGGCGAAATTTGCACAGGCGCTATTAGGATTGTTCAATCGCAAGAAGGGAGCAAGAAAAGAACTCATTTTAGGTGAGTGACAAATGTCAAGGAGTGTAAAAAATTTAATTGACAATAAAGCTTCCAAAAAAATGCGTGCAAAGGAAGTTATGTTCGCTCAAAAAAGATTTCTGTCTCGTAAAAGTGCAAACGTTAGAAGAATAATTTTGAAGAATAAATTTAGCTGGGCGACAGGCCACTTATGCTAAATCTAGCTTACAGATGCTAAATTTTGCGGGGTGTCTGTTCGGTCCGTCAGCCGACGTTCATTTTCATTCTTCAGCGCTGTCATTGTTGGAGCACAAAAAATCAGTTCTTTCTGGCACTGTTTGAGCTATGCTTCTTTCCAGCAGCAAAGCACAGTCGAAAATGTTGGTGCGTATAATTTAAATTATGCGAAGAATAAATGCAGTGGTATGAGCATGGTATACTCATACAACTAATGTATTGAAATGTAATCAAAGCAAAATAAAACAACTAAAGCGGTGTCATTTCAATGGATACTCACGTACATTATTAGCCTTGTCGTGTAGGAGGTGTCTGTAATAAGCGAAAATCCATGAAAATCAAAAGAAAACCAACAGGTACGAGAAATGCATGAAAAATAGAAAATAGGGCAGGGCTATACTTTTTTGCTACCAAAATTTCGATGAGTAACAAAAATTTGCATAGCAATAAAGGTCAAGAAGAAATCCTTTTCCCGAGCTACAACTAGGCTTTTCTAGTACCAGTACAAGTAAATGTACTAAATGTTTACGCGGAATTTTCATTTGTCCCATCTGAACTGCGAAATGGTTCCCGGTACGTCAAAGGCAGGTAACCAAATTCCCTGCATCTGGCATTACTCCAGTACTTTCTTACTTACGATTAACAAAGTTATACCGAGTTTTTTACTAAATGATAAATTCATATTGTAAAAAAGAATATTTTATTAAACATGAATGTATGATTTAAAAAAAGTGAATTTTTAAAAAAAGTGAATTTTCACAAAATCACTGAAGTTCATCAGGAAAAGATAAATGTTACAAAAGATTTTTGAATATTGAAAAACGTTTATCTTTTGTTTGCACTAGAATCATGTTCCATGTTTTTACGCTTTGTTGCGCAAAATTTCATTTTTCCTATAATTTCCCTCATTTGGTTGCACACTCAAAATTTTTTATTATCGACTAGGGGATTATGGAGCACATAGTGCCTTAAGCAAAATTTCTTCGCTTATTTACATCATTCTCTCTTTCCTTGCTTTGGGCAAAAAAAGAACTTATTGCATTTCCTGCTTATACTCAAATTTGAAACCGATTAATAATGCAATTCGAGAAGGACGAATTTAAAATCAAATAGAAATGCAGTTGGAAATCTATTACTGAATTTAATGAGCTCATTTTTACTGAATTTTTAGATGTTAATTTGTCTGAAAGGTGTGCTTGTCAGCCTGTACACTTCAGCAACTCATTCCGCCTCGTTGTCTGAATTGTGCAGCCCTTCGCTCAACACTCATCAAAATGCAATTATGAACAAAACGCTGTCAACTTGTATTTGCTGGAATTTTCTGCTCAAGCATTACACGTTCCATTCAAGCACAATGCACTTTGTGAGAAACCCCCAGATAAAAACATTTTTCCGCTGTCCAGACAGGGCTGTAAAGCACTGCTGCTGCTACAGCTGACGCATGCAGCTGTTGGAAAATGTCATTCATTTTTAGACACACCATGTGACAGTGATGGAGAAAACCGATTATGAAATGGTGCTTAGACCGTATCAACAGAATACTGAGTAAACCGCCGTGAGGGATGGAGGGATTCACCGGAACGCCTAGCGGGAATACCACAGCAAGCTAAAAATTGAATAGGAGCAGATTGATAACAGCTGCTGAATGTGCCAAATCGAACGAAATCAAATAATAAATCACACTTTTTCTACCGATAACTTTTTCATCTTTTTACACAGCAAACTCACATAATGCCAAAGCCATGGAAAACAAAAAAATAGCCAAAAAAAGAAAAAATCGGAAAAAAACCTCAGTCGTAACTAAAACAAAGAAAAAGCAGCAACTGGAGCTAAAGACAAAACAGTAAAAAAAATCTTGAAAACTGCTAAAACCAAAAGAAAAAAAGAACTTTGACTTACGGCAGAACCAAAAAGAAAAAAAAAAGACTGGTATTTTGAGTATTTAATTTTCCGGAACAAAAATTTTTGATACCTGGTAGGAAAAAAAGGGAAAACTTATTGGATCTTTGATCATAATAATAATAGTTATAAAACATTATTATCGTAATACTATGATAGCAGTTTACTACAATCGTTATAATACAACAATGTTATTATACTACAATCGCAATATCATTATAATTGTGCTTCTTCGTGCAAAATGTTATTTACGAGGGAATCAAAATGAATTTGATACTGGGTAAAAAAAATAAAGCCTTAAAAGTGCACGCTTGTGCTCAGCTCGGTTGCCATAGTTTCGAGACATGCCCTTAGCAATTTTTTCTGAAACTCAATAAAAACCTAATTTTGAAGAAACGCACATTTGGTAAAAAATTCGTTTTTCGTAAAAACCGTTTTTTATCGGACACTCAAATCTGTAATGTAGACACGCCGAAGAAAGTTTGCAAAAAGCAAGCACAATTTCAAAAAAATGATAAAAAATAAAAAAAGATAGTAATGATGAATAACCTAGGCTGGAACGCACCAGGCGAGCCGGAGCGATCATGCGTTTTTGCACAAAACTTGAA